CTTTTTATCAGAGGCATTGCTGCAACACATCCAGCAACCAACATAGCTTGAAGAAAATTGCTTAGTCTTTGTTCTTTTACTTCCACTGGTAATATATTCTCCACTTCTGTCTCTACATCAAACACTGCTTCATCCACCAGTGTGTCTTCGTTTACTAAGCCTAAACCCTTCTGCATTTGTGACTGTTTCAGTCCCTGTATCTGATATAACCGTTGGTTGATTCAACAATGAGTTAAAACTCTGATTATAAACTGATATAGATGATTATTGATTAGTACATACCCGAGAAGGTCCTTGGTGTATCAGAGGGCTCTGCATTTGTTGGTAAGCTTCTTCCATGCTTCCATAGACTTGTCCTAAAGTTGCCTTGTTCCTGATGCATTTGCGTGCAGCTGCAACGAGTTTGTTTCGTAGTAACTGCACATCATCAACTTGTTTTAAATGCCTTTTTTGACAAGGCATCTTCAAAAAAAACACAGTGAGATAATCAAACCTGGTGTTTCAGTGTTGCTAAGCTTTTTGTGTGCATTGGAGATTGTGGGATGACACCATTCGATGGAGGAATCCCAAGTAGACCACATAGGATTGTCTAAAACAGAAGAAGAGTTCCAACGTTTAATACTTTGTAAATTAAATGGCTTAGTCAACAGAGACTTTCATCTTACCAAGAAACCTAGAAGAAGTAGATCATAGTGAAAAGAAGGTGGCTTCCTCAGATTGAAATCTTCCTGCTGTGCTAACTGTGAAGCTACACTATGATCAAAGTAGTAAAGAACAGCAATCATTGAAGCTGGAACCAACGCTAAAATAATGTAAACCACAGGCACATCCAGCATCTCCTGAAAGAGTTTGATAAATATGAGCATAAAGCATTAACAGCAAAGAGAGTAAAAAGTTGAGAAGAAACTGATTATTACCTTAATGACAGTCCAATTCTGATATGCACCAGGGGACCATGGGTTAGGGCTAACGAGACGTCTTGGTATCCCTTGAGGAACACTCTTCCAAGGTATGTATGATACACAAGTCCACACTACCACCATCACTGGAACACCATAATCTGCTATAAACCCTCGTAACCATTCTGCAATCACAATCACAAGGATAGTATCAGTGGTTCTGAGCTTCACGCTTGATAAATGAACATTATAAAGTTCCTTACCAGCACCAAATCTCCAAGACCTTGCTTTACGGCTTTTCAGTGCAGTATACAGAAGTCCAAAGGACAACACAAGACCGAACATTCCATTTGCAAACACCCAAGCTGGTTGGAACTCAGCTGATCTCGGGTTTGTTCTTCCAGGGACACCAAACTCATCCACAATGCCCTGAAAAAATGTAGAGTTTCAACACTATAAAGTTGTGACTGTAATCATAATAAAGGAAACTCTTGTACTTACTCTAATGGCTTCTTGCATGAAAAGCATGGCGATTAAGATACCAAAAAGTTCTCCAGCAAGTCGAGTAAACCGATTTATAAAGGAGCAGGCGCCTAGTACAGCTAACAAGAATAGCAATAGCCCTGTCCACAAGCAAACCCTTCAAAAGAAACCATCCATGAAGTTAGAGACTTTAAACACTTCTTTGTTGTTATCATATAAAGAGAGAGATTTGAGTTTTACCATCCAGTCCATGCAAGAAAGAGATTAGACCCCAAATCCTGTCTATTTTTGGCGAAGTTGAACATGAAGGTGTACATTATAACAGTAGGCTCTGCAACACCGAGAATCAACAATGGCTGGCCTCCTATAATGGAGTGTATCACTCCACATAATGCAGTTGAAACTAAGGTTTGAACTGCTGTGATCTTCCCATCTAGTCATGTTGCAAAAGAAACATAACACACAAGTTCACAGTGTTCTCTTACTCTTATTACAGTAAAAGATAGTAAGTGATGGAGTAAAAGTGTGGTTGTTGTTGTACCAGTATCTCTCTCCAACTGTTCTCCAAATGTAATCACAGGAATGGCCGATGCAAAGAATATGTAAGTTGTTGGTGCCAGAATCCTAGATTTTTTTTCATAAACTAAGATCAAACTCATCTCTCTAAGGCAGTAACACTTTTTTAAAAAAAAAAAAAAAGCAAAAGAGAAGAGTACCTAAATCCAGCTTTGAAACCACTGGTCCAATCATGTTTGTAGCATCTGAGTCTCCCTTTGACATCATTCCTTATGCCTTGAAAAGGAACAAAACTCTCTGCCTCGGCCATTTAGATTTGGTGCCCTCAGTAAAGGTGCCTTACAAGGAAAAAACTAGAGTATGGTTATACTGAATGATTAAGACAACACACTATTAGCCAACAAGACTAAACTCTAAATACAACTGATTAAGATTTAGTCACTAGAACTAAAATGAACAATGAGAGATTAACTTACTACTTTGGATGGGTTTATTAAAGTAGATATTCACTTTACTAAAAGAACTCAGATCCAAATATGAATATCTATACTGGAAAGCTAAAAGAGAAAACTCAAAGCGTTGATTGCGGTTGTACAGTAGATTTGCTTTGGCAAAAAGGAGAAAACTTTACTACACATTCTTGCTGGAAATCTCAAAAAGCTGGCGGAAAAAAAAAAGAAGCTAAACAGAGTAGTAAAAGACATGGGATCTAAGCTTGGATTCAAGGATAGTCATAAAGAAGAAAAAACACTTACCAAAGACAGCAAAGATCAAAACACCCAAACGAAGACAGCGTTCTTGAGACTGAAAGAAGAAGAAGCAAATGTGTAGTTTGTGTTCTCTGCTCTTGGCTTCTTTAGGAGAGTTGTAAGAGATTTATATTCACTGTTGCAGATAAAAAAATGTTGAGGAAGAAAAGAAAAGAGTGAGAGTGATGTAGAGATCTTTATGGGAAGAGAGAGAAAGAGATGTTTGTCTCTGTTTCTGCCTCTGGTTTCAGACAGACACAGCTCGTGATTAGTTGGTACTTTGTACACGTCTGTCTAATAACGCGGCATTAACAATGTCTCTGTTTCACTTCTTTAATCAATGTTTTTAATTTTAAATGAATCTCTACCTTTTCTGATCAAAAAAAGAAAAAATGAATCTCAACCTTTTGTTTTAGTCAAGTTGATTCATTATCTCGACCCAGACAATAATATGTAGTTATTTCAAAGAGAATTTGGATTTTGTGACTGACATTTCCTCGGAAAAAAGATGAAGAATATTTTTCCACAAGAAAGTCTCACTCTTCCTGATAATGACTATTTACAGGAGTTTAGTGGGTTTTGTAATTTTCTTTTTAAAAATTTTGACGAATTTTCTAATAAATATTTCCTTTTTTTTACATCGAAATTAAAACAAATTAACGTCATATCAGAGCATGTTTAATAGAAGGTTCTTAGAGTGGTTTTCTTAGCGGAATATAAGAACATTTCTCTTAATTTTTAGGGCAATTCTCTCAAATAACTCTCTTTTAAGTTTTTATCACAAAAATAGACCGCAAAAATTAAAATGACCAAAATAACACTTTTTATTTTGAAAATTTTAAGTTTTCTTAATTTTTTTAAATTCGAAACCCTATCCCCAAAATCTCACTCCTCAACTCTAAACAAAAAAATCTAGGATTAGTTAACCGAAGGAGTATAAATGTATATTTATAAAACATTTAAGTGTTATTTTGGTCATTTTAATTGTTAAAGTTTATATTTGTGATAAAAAAAAATTTTTAGGTATATTCTAGTCATTTTCTCTAATTTTTAACTAAAAAAGTTAAAAATCGACTATTAAATAAAATATTTAAAAGTTGATTCTTAACTTTTTAGTTGAACTGATTCTTAGTTTTTTTAATTAAAAATTAAGAAACAGTTTTTTTAATTTTCACTAAGAATCCCACTCTAAGAATATCGGCTTAATCATTTTCTTAGAGCATGATAATCTGAGTTTCTTAGGATGAATTTCTTAGAGAAATATAAGAAACTGCTTTTTAAATTTTAATTTTAACTGTTTTTGAAAGTAGAACCAAACAATGTTTTTTTTTTAACTTTCCAAGCAATGGTAGTTTGGTGTAAAGACTTGTATTATCTTAGAGTAGCGCAGCCCATCTCAAGATATGTGCAAATATTGCTTGTACATGCCATGGTCCATAATTTTTTTGCAACTTTTTTATTAGAGTTTATAGTATTATTTTCTAAAATCTAAAGCTCGATTTTCAAGCTATTTGATTTAATCTTATAAATTTAGAAGTTGCAAAGAGCCCACATTAATAATGAGACGGGTCTAGAGTAGCTCCAACCTTAAACTTCTTCTTATTGAGGTCAAGGTCCCAGGATCGGCATCAACCAAATGCAGGGACCATTTGTTTAAGAATTTGATATCCATATCGAACTGGAACTGTAAGTATGTCAGTATAATTCAGTTTAGCTTAGCGATTAAATTTAATATTACGGTCTTAAAAAATGTGGGTGAAAATGTTTCAATAAAGTGAATGCTTAATTTAATAATTCAGTCTTTAAAAGTACACATAGAACAACTAGGGTTGGCAACTATACCTAAATCAAACCAAACCAAAACTCACCAATGGAAATCCGTATTAAGTACTATATAATAACTCGAATAGGTATGCATAATAAAGAATAAAATTGATGATCTTTGTTACGATATTACTACGTTCTCACGTTATGCATTTGTAAAATAATTAAATAAAATGATAGATACATTCTTTACGATATTATTTCCCAAGTTATACATAATTGCATACTCTACGATATTACATTCCCACGTCATGCATAATAATAACACTACCAAATGCAACCCATCTATCATCCCATTAATCAAATAATATAATACGATTCCACTTGAATCATTTGGTCTCTCTCTCTCTCTCTCTCTGATATTTTCTTAACTTCTCAACCGATTTCACTCTATGTTCCAAGATTCACGATGCAACAGCATCAGTTTACGCAATGCCATCGAATATTATCAATGAAAGATGTTCAAAATACATTATATATATAAAAGCTCCCTCTGACTATTTACCATATCCTCAAACGTAGCTAGAGAATGGCATTGGCTTACTCCACCCTAACCTACTGGCTCGTGAATCACCCCTACATCGCCAACTTCACGTGGACCGAAGGTGAAACCCTTGGCTCCACCGTCTTATTTGTAGCCATCGTAGTATCCCTTTACCTCTCCACCACATTCCTCCTCCGTTATGTCCTCATTTCACTACCTTCCCTCGGTCCCAAAATTCTCAAACCAATCACAGCCGTCCATAGCCTCATCCTCTGCCTTCTCTCCCTCATCATGGCCCTAGGCTGCACTCTCTCCGTAACCTCAGACCCAACGGTTAGTTTCTTCCACTCAATATGTTTTCCCCTCGACGTGAAACCTAAAGGACCACTCTTCTTCTGGGCTCAAGTCTTCTACCTCTCCAAGATCCTCGAGTTCGGAGACACACTCCTCATCATACTTGGAAAATCATTCCAACGGCTCTCGTTCCTCCACGTGTACCACCATGCTACGGTTGTGATCTTGTGCTTCATCTGGCTCCGAACCCGACAGTCTATGTTCCCGGTTGGGCTTGTGACGAACTCCACGGTCCATGTCATCATGTATGGTTACTACTTCCTCTGCGCCGTTGGATGGAGACCTAAGTGGAAGAGGTTGGTGACAGATTTTCAGATAGTGCAGTTCTTTTTCGGGTTTGGATTGTCTAGTTGGATGTTGCCGGAACATTTTTTCGGGTCGGGTTGCTCCGGGATGTGGGGATTATATTTCACCGGTGCGTTTAATGTTTCTCTCTTGGTTCTCTTCTTTAACTTCCGCTCCAAGAACTATGCAAATAAGTCAAGACTTGATATAGTGGCAACAAAACGATTTGATCATTATTTTCCAGAAGAGACGATTAAACTGGCTTAAATTGTTGAAATATTCTGAAAGTGTCAATCTCTTTTAATGTCTTGTTGTTACTTGAAATGATTTTGGATTGTTTGAAATTGATTTATTATGAATAAGATAGCAATATATTGAAAATGTGGCATTAATCATGAACTTGGCTGATCTTTAGATTCTAAAATTGTTTTTATCATGAATAAGATTACAAAATATATTGAAAATGTAACATAATAATCTTGAAATGGCTGATTCTTAAATTCTAAAATGTGCCATTAAGGTGACATTTGCCAACCAACGTTTCTTTCTAGAGCTGCACAGTGAGATTAAGTGTACATACATAACTTAGTTTGTAGCTAATCGAAGATTGAATTTAGTATATCTAGTTTCTGTGTTTCTAGTTTGTAGTCCAGATATTTTTTGAAGGTAGTTGTTGATGTTTACATAAACGATAAAATCATAAAATTCTCAAATACATTACAAACTAACTCTCCATAATACAACAAGAAAACGAGGAAAAAAAAATAAAGAAACTCCAGCCAACAAATCTTGCAAGACCTCCAATTAAATAACCAAACATATTGGGATGAATAGTGATTTCTTCATTTTTGAGGATTTAAAATCATTCTCTGTTTCGAGTCTTGGCTTCTAGGGTTCATCAACTAAAGCTGCTTTTACCTCAGACCCAAACAATAACATGTACTTTTTCAAAGAGAATTTGGATTTTGTGACTGACATTTCCTCGGATAGATGATTTTGTAATCTTTTTCCACACACAAAGTCTCATTCTTCCTGATAAAGACTATTCACAAGATTTATTGTGTGTTTGTAGTTTTCTTTTTAACAATTTGACGAATTTTTCAATAAATATCTCCATTCTAATAGTGGCAACTTATTCACATATGGTATAAAATAAGAAATGTTTGATATTTAGTATATGTAAGAAGAACCAAGCAATGGTAGTTTGGTGTAAGACTTGTATTATCTTAGAGTGGCAGGCCCGTTTCTAGGGCATGTGCAAAGAGTAGTACATAGTCCATAACTCTTTTGCAATTTTTTGAATAGAGTTTTAAAGTATTATTTCTAAAATCTAGAACTCAAAGTTCAGTCAAAAAAAAAAAGTAGAACTCGTTTTTCAAACTATTTGATTTAATCTTTAGTCAAATAAAAAACTATATGATTTAATCTTATAAATTTAGAAGTTGCATAGAGCCACATTAATAAAGAGATGGGTCTATAGTAGCTCCAACCTTAGAGCATCGGTATTGCTCGGTCCTTACCAAGTCCTTCGTCAAAAACGAGGAGGATTAAGAGAGAGAGAGAGGGAGAAAAGTCACTAAACAAGGAACGTCCTTGTTCGGTCAAGACAATTTGTCTTGTCTGCGAGTTCCACGACACGTGGCGACCTACGATTCATTCACTTTTAATTTTTTTTTTGAAAACAAAAAAAAATATTAAAGACCCAAAATAATCCCCCAATAAAAATACCCTTAAAGCAAAGATTATTTGGGGTCTTTGCTCTTGAGTCCTTAATACATATATATATATATGTATATATTTATATATGCGTATATACATATAAATATTTTTTTTAAGAACTCTAACACAAGGACTTCCAATAATGTTGCTCTTAAACATCCTCTTATTGAGGTCCAGGTCCTAGGATTGGCTTCGACCAAATGCAGGGACCATTTGTTTTTTTTTTTTTTTTTTTTTTTGGTCAAATGGGACCATTTGCTTAAGAATTTGATATCCACATCGAACTGGAACTGTAAGTATAGCAAAGTGATTCAGTTTGGCTTAACGTTTAAATTGATATTACTGTCTTCAAAAATGTAGGTGAAAATGTTTCAATAAAGTGAATGTTTAATTTAATAATTCAGTCTTCAGAAAGTACATAATTGATAGAATCATTAGGGTTGGCAAGTATACCTAAATCAAACCAAACCGAAATTCACCAATTGAAATCCGTAGTTAAGTATAATAACTCGAATAGGTATAATATATAACTCTAAACAGATTTAGCAGGACTGAACCAGTATTACGTCCTCATATTATGCATAATAATATGCATGCACGTTAAATAAAATAAAATGATGATGATGTTACCACGTTATGCATGCACAGTTAAATAAAATAAAATGATGATTCACTCTTTACGGTATTATCTTTCCATGTTATGCAAATTGCATTCTCTACGTTATTATTACGTTACCACGTTATGCATAATACTAACAATGCAATCCATCTATCACTCCATGAATCAAATAATAAAATACGATTCCACTTGAATATACAAAATCTATTTAGGTAAGCCTTCTGGTCAGATCAGCGCAGGGAAAGCAAAGACACGTGAAACCTGGCGACACAATGTCACTGGTTCACTCCATATTCCTAGAATTACGATTCAAATGCATCAGTTTACGTAATGCCAACGAATTTCATTAATGAAAGATGTTCAAAATACATTATATATATATAAGCTCTCTCTCTCTGACCATTTACCATATCCTCAAACTTGACTGGAGAATGGCATTGGCTTACTCCACCCTAACCTACTGGCTCGTGAATCACCCCTACATTGCCAACTTCACGTGGACCGAAGGTGAAACCTTTGGCTCCACAGTCTTCTTTGTAGCCATTGTAGTCTCACTTTACCTCTCCGCTACATTCCTCCTCCGTTATGTCGTCATTTCACTCCCCTCACTCGGTCCCAAAATTCTCAAACCAATCACAGCCGTCCACAGCCTCATCCTCTGCCTTCTCTCCCTCATCATGGCCGTAGGTTGCACTCTCTCCGTAACCTCAGACCCGACAATGCGTTTATTCCACACAATTTGTTTTCCCCTTGAGGTGAAACCTAAAGGACCGCTCTTCTTTTGGGGTCAAGTCTTCTACCTATCCAAGATCCTCGAGTTTGGAGACACACTCCTCATCATACTCGGCAAATCATTCCAGCGGCTCTCGTTCCTCCACGTGTACCACCATGCCACGGTTGTGATCTTGTGCTTCACCTGGCTCCGAAACCGCCAATCTATGTTTCCGGTTGCACTTGTGACGAATTCCACGGTCCATGTCATCATGTACGGTTATTACTTCCTTTGTGCTGTTGGAAGGAGACCGAGGTGGAAGAGGTTGGTGACGGATTTGCAGATTGTGCAGTTTGTTTTCGGGTTCGTATTATCCGGTTGGATGTTTCCGGAGCATCATTTCGGGTCAGGTTGCTCCGGGGTTTGGACAATATATTTCATGGGTGCGTTTAATGGGTCTCTCTTGATTCTCTTCTTCAACTTCCGTTCCAAGAACTATGCCAACAAGACAAGACTTGATATAGGGGAAAGAAAACAATTATAATTATTATTTTCCAAAAAGATATATGACTAAATTGTCTTGAATTGTTGAATATTCTGAAATGCCGAGCTGTTTGGTGTGTTGTAGTTAATGCTTCGGTTGTTTGATGCTTTCGTCATGAAATGGCTGATTCTTAGATTCTAAAATTGTTTTATCATGAATAAGACGACAAAATATAATGAAGATGTAACATGAATCATGAAATAACTGATTCTTTCTAAAAGACATTAAGGTGACTTTTAGAGTAGCACACTAAGATTAGTCTAAAGACACCACTAAAAGTCTGTAGCTAGTTTCTGTGTACCTAGTCTGTAGTCCAGATATTTTTTGAAGGTAGTTGGTGGTGTTTACATAAACGATAAAATCATAAAATTCTCAAATACACATTACAAACTAACTCTCCATAATACAACAAGAAAACGAGGGAAAATAAAATAAAACAAAAATAAAAGAAACTCCAGCCAACAAATCTTGCAAGACCTCCAATTCAATAACCAAACATATTGGGATGAATAGTGATTTCTTCATTTTTGAGGATTTAAAATCATTCTCTGTTTCGAGTCTTCGCTATTAGGGTTCATCAACTAAAGCTGTTTTTACCTCAGACTCGACAACACCATTCCCTTGTCTCTCAGACAATGGCGTAGGGACCACAGCGGCTCCTGCAATGTCCGGATTCACGACAGACTCAGCTGGTGGTTTAATATCAAACCCGGAAACACGAGGTCGCCTATCCCTTCTTTCAATAACCGGACTAGGACTACGGCTATAGCTTCTGCTCCGGTTATGACCACCACGGTCACGGCTACGCCTAGGGCTACGACTCCTTGAGCGTGACCAGCTCCTGCTACGGCTGCGACTGTAGCTCCTGCTTCGGCTTCGGCTATAGCTCGGGCTACGACGTGGCCTAACCAAATCAGGACTTCTGCTACGGCTTCTACCTCTTCTGTTATCAAACCGTCCACCACCACCGCCACGACTAAAGCCTCTACCACCACCAACACCACGACCAAAGCCTCGGCCATCCATATTGTTATTACCAAACCGACCAAATCCACCTCTACCCACATTCATACGACCAGCATCAGGACCAGGAAAGCCCCGGCCACGTCCAAATGAATCATCTCTCATTCCAAATCCGCCACTTCGGCCTCCAAATCCACCACCACGCCCACCAAACTCACCACCAGAATCCCAACGGCCACCACCACGGCCAGAGTCAAAACGGTTTACCATGCCGCCTCTTCGGTCCTGGCTAAAACCTGGACCACCACCGCCACCACCACGCATTGCAATATCCCTCACTTGAGGTGGTACTTGCTGGTTTGCTCCTTCCAGGACTTTGATCAAATCAGGCGCGTATTTCCAATCTTGCTCTGTAAAGAAAGTGAATGCAACTCCAGTTGCACCAGCTCGACCAGTTCTCCCAATACGGTGAACATAGTCTTCAACACCAGTTGGAAAATCATAGTTGATCACAACTCTGTAGGCGTATAACCAATCAAAGGTAAGGAAGGAATCTTCGTAACGAACAAACAAAGAGATATATAAATCAAGAATTATTATTACAAACCTTATGTCTTTTATATCGAGTCCCCTGGCAGCAACGTCAGTAGCTATCAACACACACGACTTCCCGCTGCGGAACTGGTTAAGTACCCAGTCTCTCTCGCCTTGAGATTTGTCTCCATGGATTACAACAGCACCAAAATTACGTCCTACGCTGCGTGAAAGATGGTCACAAAGCCTCTTCGTGGCACAGAATATTATAACTTTTGAACCTCGTTCTTGCGACCTTAGGATTTGCTCCAAACGCCTCTCTTTCTCCATTTGTGGGACAACTTCAACATACTGCATTAATAAGCATGAATTTAGTAACCTAACCACCAACTTATGTTATGGGGAAGGATGTTTCAGAGTGATAAAGAATGGTTTAGGTGATCATCACCTGCGTTATCGACTTGTTTGCAGCCAACTCATCTACGCTGCCTATGTTAACTTGGACAGGGTTCACAAGAAGATCGCTTGCAATTTTCCTAACTTCTTTTGGCCAAGTTGCAGTGTACATAAGAGTCTGTCTCCGCGGAGGTATTTCATTCACAATCTTACGGATTTGGGGTTCAAAACCCATGTCAAGCATTCGGTCTGCCTCGTCAAGCACCAGAAGGGAAATTTGCTGGAAATCAATCTTCCTCATCTCCAGTATATCATTTAGGCGACCAGGAGTTGCCACCACAATATCAGCTCCTCGTTCCAACTCTTGTAATTGAGGACCTTTTGGAGCTCCACCATACAAGCACTGATGACCAAAATATACACAAGTATCCAAAAGAGATGAGGAAAGCTCTATCAGCCATGCTAACAAAAGTCAAAGAGATTCGAATAAAACTCACAGTGCATGATATTCTGGAAGACCGGCCAAACCTAAGGGCTTCATCTTGTATTTGTGTAGCTAGCTCCCGAGTGGGAGCTAAGATCAAAACCGTGGGGCCATTGCGGGGGTCATTACGACAGTGTCTAAGAAGAGTGAAGGCAGGGATCAAGTATCCCAATGTTTTACCAGAACCAGTTTTTGCAATTGCAACTATATCCCTGTTCTGCAGAGCAATTGGCCATGTTTGAGCCTGTATCGGTGTTGGTGATGGAAATCCAGCAGATAGCAACTGATAAAAAGAAGTTACAACCATTAGCACACCATATGCATACAGAATCAACGCCACTAATAAAGGTCATAATAAAACTGACCTCTCTCAGTAATTCAGGTGGGAGACCACTAGATTCAAATGTGATGAACGGTGCTGGAATGTTCTCACCCTGCACAAGAGCGAAAGATATTTAAAACCGGCACACATAGTAGAATATATGAGAAAAGCGCAAGGTTTAATACTATTCTCAAATGCTATTACTTATTCCAGTTGAAGTTCGTCCAATCCCACATTCTCAGTAGTTTTATGGACAAACATTCACTGAAACAACAATTTGCAAAATATTACAGCACATTACAGCTTAAAGAAAACAGACTAAGTAGGACAATCAATCCAAGAAATATAAACTTACAGTTATTGTGATTTCATGTTGTTTTCGGTACATTTCAACAGGCGAAAGATGGGAATCATCAGGAGTTGGTACAAAGTGAGGCCTTCCTACGGATGAAAAAGCTGGACCTGCGTGACCGTATGTTCCATGCCCTGTATTCCCCATGGCGGGATCAGCATTTACAGGTTGACCGCCACGTATCCTTATATCCTGCATAGTATTTTAAAAGTGTTATTTCGTGAGAAAGGCTCAGAGGCAAAGACATTTCAGAAGATAAAATATAGGAGAAGTGATCCTCTGCAGCTAACCTCAGGCATTGCTGCAGGATGGCGTGGTTGTGCACCTCTCACAGGCCCTTCCATTCTTGTGTTACCGTAGGAGTCATTCCCAGGTCTGGCTTGTAGATTATTCTCATAGGTATTATTTGATCGGAAAGGGGAAACATGAGACTTCTGGTGCATCATCTGGTCCATGTGATTTGGAGGCCTAGGTCCATGCTGCTGGTGAACAAAATTAGCCCCTGGCTGTTGAAACTGTTCAGGATGTTGAATGTTTGCTTGAGGTCCATTGTATTGCTGAGGTAGAGCCAAGTTTGCATTTGGTCTTTGCGATGCTGCTTTAGCCTCAAAGGCAGTATTTTGAGATGGCGAAGCTTCGGAATTTTGTAAATGGGGTTGAGAAAACCCAGTTTTCTCACCCCTATGGAAAACTTCCCCTTCCCTCTTTGGCGCCAATGAGTTGTACTCTTGCTGGCTCGGAAAATGCTGACTCTGTGGGCCAACCTGAGGTGAATTTGGAATCCCTTGTGGTTGCATGTAAGGCCGATAACCCATGTACTGTTGTTGTGAATGTGCATACTGATGAGGCATCTGTGAATGCTGGTTCTGCATTCCTTGCTGCTGCTGCTGCGTTGGCTGATACCCTTGTTGAGAAGGATGCCCGTGTTGCTGTGTCGCCATGGATTGGCCCTGTTGTTGGGAAAACTGCTGACCTGATTGTTGAGGCATCTGCTGACCCGGATGCTGCTGCTGCTGCTGCTGCATCATCTGAGGCCTTACATGTTGAGCTGGGTATTGCTGTGACTGTTGTTGCTGAGGCACATGACTTGCTTGTTCAAGCTGAGCTTGATGTCCCTGTTGTCCTGCAGAAGCTACAGGAATTTGAGCAAGCTTCGGTGTTGTGGAAGGGTGAGGAGGACGAGCTCCAGCTGGCAAAGGCGGAGAAGGTCTTTCGTATTGAGTAATATTCGTTTCAGGATTCCAGTAATAGAGAACTCCCGTGCTTCCATCGATAAGTCCCTTCCATGGTTTGGGAAGAGTGGGATCCTCTGGAGCATATCGTGGACCAGCAGAAGCTTGAGCTGCTTCTGCAGTGGCCATCTACAAGAATAGTTAAATTATCATGTTAACATCCTTAAACCTTAACATGACCAAATTACCCTAAGATTTGTACACTACGATTCATCAACGAGATAGTTAAGTTAGGGTAACGTCAACAAATCAAATCATTCAAATATCATTTACTTGGACCAGTAATAACATAAGAATCCAACGATTTAGGGTTTGAGATTATACTTACGTCGACGGTTCCGACTGTGCGATTCAGAGAAAGACGAATTCCTCCGGTGTTAACCAGAGAGGCAACGTCGCTGCAAGGTAGAGTAGAGACGAGAGCTTGGGTTCGGCGTCTTGATTGAGAGAAGTGAGGCTGGGGGTTCACGAAAGAGGAGCATAATGGGGAATCCTCAATACGACAACGTTCCAAAACTTTGGGTAAATTCTTCCTTCGGCCCGGCCTGGCCCAGAACATATTATAAAGCATTTAACTGTTTGTAGTTTTAGAAATTCAAAATCTTTTATCCAGTTGAAACTTTTGAAAAAGATTAGAAAAGCTATTAGTTCCTAAACAAGAAAGGTGTCCGGATCTGGATTCAGATCCGTTATTTTATTATCCGAATTTGTATTTTACGGATATCCGGGATTCATATATCCATCTAGAAATTGTGATATTCGTAGATATCCGGATTCAAATCTAGATTTGGAAAAATAATAAAAATATTTTTTAATAAAATACAAAAATTCTAAAAATAATACATAAATTAATTATTTATACAAAATTTATAAATATAGATATGACATATAATATTACTAAAATTAAAATATAATAGTTAAGACTAATTTTTATGTATAAGTATTAATATATCAAAATTAATTATTATTAAATTAAAATTTAATATATTTTAGAAATACGGATTCGGATCTCCGGATCTAAAAATTATGATATCCGGATCTGGATTTGGTTTGAACGAATCCTAATTTTATTATCCGGATCTGGAGACTCTAGATATCCTATTTCATAACGGATCCCGGATCGGATCGGGTAACAGTGTCAGCCCTACTAAACAGCAAAAGAAAGAAAACTAGGTTTGCTTAGGATTAGCTTTGTATTCTTGTTTCTAGTGGTAGAATAAGTTTGGCGTAAGGAAAGGTTCATTTCGATTTTGAGTTGTAAAATGAATTTGTTTTCATTTGTTATCAGATAGTACAACGAAGATTGATTTAGGTAAATATTAATCTGCTCATAGATGATATTTTATCGTTCCATGGTCTTTATGGTTCAACTCTTTTGAGATTATTGGTAAATAAAAAGTTGAAGTTGAACAAAAAAAAAAGCAGCAAAAAATCCATGATTTTTGTTACAATACTGATATTTACGGGGATTAATATAGTTGAGAACAAAATAAAAAGAGAAAATTGAAAATATTAACAGCTGATCACTAAGAGTTAATAAAACAATATTAGTATCCAAACTATATTATAAAATTTAACCTATATTAATGAAAATAACAATAAAATTACTTTTTACTGGAGAGTGCAAGATTAAAAGATTGCAATGAACAAGTACAAAATGTTTTTAATCAGATAAAATAAGTTCAGAGGAGATTAACTCACTTGGTAAATCTCCAATCCTGAGTTTAAAATCAAGAACGCATAAATGAGAGAAATAATGTCTGTACAAACTTAGAAAAGCATTGTAAACTGAGTTTAGTAGATCCCTCGTCTACCATTAATATGCCAAAGCTTTCTTTACTAGCCTTACTTAAGAGAGTCTCTCAGGGCAAAGGCTCTTGCGAGTCTCCGAGACGAGACAAGTGCAAGTATGCATCAGTCCCTGCAACATTTTAACAACAAACATAAGTCAAAACTGATTTTTCTCCTCATGAATCAGGTTGATTTAGATATTCAGGTTAAGAAACTACAACGGATATGATCAAAGAACAGGAAAACGGAAGAAGTATTGAACTCACCGTATCCTTCCATGGATATAATCTGCAAATCTCCACCAAAATAGCGAGCATACAAGCGACTAATAGGTAGACCATAACCATAACCAGCCATAGTCACCGGAACATCAGCTGTTCCCAAGTCCACATCTTCTTCAAGCGGGTTTCTTGCAGTGCTGTAAAGATAGGTGAATATTTTGGGGAGACCGCTTCTTGGTATACCTCCACCTTCATCTGAGACCTATTAGATCAACCCACAACAATGACTGGTTCAAACAGGTGTCACAAAAAAATTGAAAGGCCGGAGAAAAAGCAGAGGAAAACAACAAACCTTTATTGTAACATCTTCGATTCCATCAGCAACTATGATACGGATTGGTGGTGCAACTCTATCAGAGTCAACATATCGCTCTTGGACAGCACGTAGAGAGTTCTTGACTAGCTCATACACCATAAGATGCAAATGGGTTGGAACATACCTATGAAAAGTAGTAAGGAAAAAAAAACATTGTTGGCTATGTGAAAGTAAAAGCTACAGAATGAATGAATCCAAGAAGAAAACAAAAAAACTCACGGAAAGGTGAAACTTGGATCGCCATATATGTTTATCTCCGGAGCAGAACCATATTCTCGGAAACAAATTGACCTTGCATCTTCACTAGCATTCCTTGCTACCTCCATAGGAGACATCTTGGTGTGTATGTAACCCACAGTATGAAGTGGTGGATTTGGATTATGCAACTCAACATGCTGCCCTGAAAATCTCATTACAACCTCAAAAAGTATTAACACAAACACCAAACAAACAAATATATTCCAGTTGAGTAATTAAAAAGAAAAACAAGTCTTACCGATAAGCATACGGATGCCTATACGTGACAAGTAAAAGCGATCAAGAAACTGATGAATCTCATCAAGTTTTTCATAGAGTTTAATTACTTTCTTCAACTGATTAACACCAAGAGCCATCATGGGAACAACGTTGTTGTGCCTAACTTTGACTGCCTTAATCATGTGAGTAAACTCTTTCTCATCAGCAGTATCCTTAATCTCAGGAAACGCTCTCATGTCCCTGAATGATTCTACATACCAATCCCTTACCTACAAAACAACAGAGTTGTCACGAAGATGAGAGAATGATTCCACACAAAGACACCATTCCACAAAAAGCTATTCAAGAGTATTTAGGTGTCAAAGTTGCCACATCTTAGGCCATTTCAGTGATAATTGAGATCTCACACATACGAATATATATAAGAAACTTGTGCTAATCCATTCACCGTCAACTGATTTTAAGTTGGAAGTCTAAGAAACTTAACACGGTATCAGAGCCTGGTTTATTTTGATTCGAGATAAACTGATAAGAGACATCATCTCGAGAGGACGTACTGAAATCATGAATCGAAATTTTAAATTATATAAGAGATTTGGACCAATCCACTTATTATCAATTGGTTTTGAGTTCGAATTACATGAACCTAACAAGATTGCATACAAAACTGTTCTAAGAATTCCCAGAAATTGAAAATCACTGGCATAAATCCAATAACCGGAATAAACCAGAAAATTTTGGGAAGTACCTTCAATACGGCAGGTTTCTCAGAGAGACCATAAGGAAGCGTCTCGAGTTCGATCGCACGCCTCGCGATCCGAATCGGGAGCTCCTTATGCAGAAACTGCGCAGAGATCATAAGGTTTCTCTCAGTAGGAGTGGAGCCGAACTCCATCATGTACCTGAGACTCACGCCCGTCTGCTTCATGCATCCCCATTTGTGAACATCTTCGATCAAGCTCTTCGAGAACATCTCGCTTGCCTTCTTCACCGCCATCAAACCCTAACGTCTGTCGTCGCGCTCCACCACTGTTATCATCGACTGATGGAAGAGATGATTGGATGATATCCAGAGAACAGAGAGGATTGGGTTTTGGGGATGGGCACATGATTTAATACTCCTTTTAATTTGTAATTTTTTTGATTAATGATATTAGCTAAAAAGGTTTCATTATTTTCCCGCTAAGTCGATGGATTACTGGATTAGGATATCAGTGATTGAGTGCATCGTGTGGTTCTGGCTCTTCTTGGAATATTGTTTTAGATTATTTACCTTTTTGAGATTAAAGTCTTTGTTCTTCTGTTGACAAAAAAGAGTAGTCTTTGTTATATTATTATTTTTGGGTCAAAAAATAATGTTTTTATTAATGTTGAAAAAAGTAATGTGACACATAGTCACCCAATTTTTTTCTTCAAAAGAAACAAGTGTCAAGTGTGGTTAAATTGTCTGAATAATATCTGATTATTTTGTGAGATCCACTTTTACCTGAAAAAAAATTAAAAGCATATAATACACATCTATTATCATAAAGAAAACTATTACGGCTTGGGTTACCTTATGATTGGAGATAGACAACTTGGTTGATCGTATGATCTCCAAGGTTTTTTCTACTTGTATGACACAATACCAGAAGAACAAAAGTGATGATCTTACATCTTCTACATATGGTGAGTGCAATGTCAACTACATGTCTTCAAGTTTACTCTCGTTAGCAGCTCTCTTTTTATAACTGATTGCCTTGGTTGGTTGCAACTTGCAATTTAATTGTAGGGAGCTGGGCCAAGAAAATTCTGGCTGTTGTTACTCTGTTGAATTATGTGCAGCAGTACAAAAGTTTATGGAGGTCTGTGATTCATCTCTCAGTGACTTATTTTCTGCCTTTTGTTAGTTAGTCGAAGAAAGAAGACTTGAAGCTGGAGATCTTGTCTAGCATGATTGATTTGCCTTATTCAGTGGCTTATGTTCAGTTGCCAATTGTTTGTTACCATGCACAGATTTTCGACCAATGCTTAGTTGCCTTTGATATTGGACGCCAAAATCCAGCAGCAATTCAGAACGTTGATGATGCGGAGAGAAGTGTTACCAGTGAGATGGTTACACTCACAAAGAAGCTAACTGAGTCTGAGTTCAAACCACTCTTTATCAGAAGTATTGATTAGGCAGAGTCAGATGTTGAAGATGGATATGGGAATGAGTACAAGAGTGTCGACAGATCCATCTCTTTCTATGGTCTAGTGAATAGACTCTGTTCACAGTCACATGTGAGTAAACGCTGCGATCCTCTTTACTTAGCTTCTTGAATATTGGGAAATTAACTTCGATTTTTTTTGTTGTGGAATGTAGGTCGATCTTTGTACAATACTTCAAGTTCATGCTTGATAGTATTGTATTATCTCACCAGTGCTGGAGCTACTAAAGCCTATAGTATCACAACTTGTTGTTGAACCGCCATCTGATTGAAAGGAGCATCCACATGTACCATCTGTAGCAGAGGTTGATGAGTTGTTGGTTTCATGCATTGGTCAAATGGCAGTAGCCTCTGGCTCCGATCTCCTCTGGAAACCGCTGAACCACAAGGTAAACCAACATAATCTTGTCTCAGCTCACAACAGTGAATTTTTGGTTTAATCGTCTTAAAAATCATGTTCTTGGTTCAGGTGCTAATGCAAACAAGGAGTGAGAAGTTGTGTGCG